GCGCTTAAGAGACTAACAATTTTATAAGACCATAAGCTTCGGTGGGCTACAGCATCCGAAGAAGTGGGCTGTAGCCCACGAAAGCTTATGCTCTAATAAATTTGTTAGTCTCTAAGGTGCCACAAGTACTCCTGTTCTTTTTGTAAAAGGAAGCTTACTGGTGAGATTATCTGTATTCAGTTTGATTAGACATAATTTGCATGTTTTATTTTATTTTGCTTGGTGACTTACTTTGTTCTGTCTGTTACTACTTGGAACCACTTAAATCCTACTTTCTGTATTTAATAAAATCACTTTTTACTTATTAATCAACTCAGAGTATGTGTTAATACCTGGGTGGGCAAACAACTGTGCATATCTCTCTATCAGTGTTATAGAGAGTGAACAATTTGAGTTTACCCTGCGTAAGCTTTATACAGGGTAAAATGGATTTATTTGGGTTTAGACCCCATTGGGAATTGGGCATCTGAGTGTTAAAGACAAGAACACCTCTGTTAGCTGCTTCCAGGAAAGCCTACAGCTGTTAGGGGACATGATTCAGACCTGGGTCTGGGTTTGTAGCAGGCTAGTGAGTCTGGTTCAAACCAGGCAGGGCACTGAAGTCCTAGCTGACACGGCAGGAAAGCAGGGGCAGAAGTAGTCTTGGCACATCAGGTGGCAGCTCCCAAGAGGGTTTCTGTGATCCAACCCGTCACAGGCTCCTATGCCCTCTCCCAATCAGTAGAGCAGGGGTGGGCAAACCACAGCCTGTGGAACCATCCTGCCCGGCCCCTGAGCTCTCGGCTGGGGAGGCTCCCCCCAGCCCTTCCTCCACCTTCCCCCCTCCCCCAGAGTCACGCTGCTATGCGGGCAGCACTCTGTGGGGTGGGGCAGCGTGTCAAGGGGGTGGGGGGCGGGGCCGTGCTGTTGGATAAGGGGCAGGGAGTTGGGGGCGGGCAGTCAGGGGACAGGGAGTGGGGGGGTTGGATGGCAGTGGGGTCCGGGGGAGGGGGTGTGATTACGGTTGGGGGTGCTTCGGGAGGGGGTGGTCAGGGGACCAGGAGTGAGGGGGGTTGGATGGTTTGGGAGTTCTGAGGGGGGCAGTCAGGGGGCGGGAAGTGGGAGGAGGTCTGATAGGGGGCAGAGCCAGGCTGTTTGGGGAGGCACAGCCTTCACTACCCGGCCCTCCATACAATTTTGCAACCCCAATGTGGGCCTCGGGCCAAAAAGTTTGCCCACTCCTACAGTAGAGGAAACAACATGGTGATTGACACACAAACTGGCACCCACCAAGATACTGTACATTCAGCCTGGCACTGTCCTGCACTCAGGGCATGGGGATGAGTTAAGGAATGGGGTTGGGCTTGGTTACTTTGATTCAGTCATAACTTAGATCCTTCTCTCATTTATTACAGTGAATGTTCTTCACAGAGTTGGTTAATGTTTTTGCTAAGAGCTCAGGTGAAGAGTTCTATTCCAGGAGTTCTCAAATGGGGGTCAGGACCCCTCAGGGGGTCACGAGGTTATTACATGGCGGGGTCGCAAGCTGTCAGCCCCCAATCCCCACTTTGCATTCAGCATTTATAATGGTGTTAAATATATAAAAGTGTTTTTAATTCATAAAGGGGGTCACACTCAGAGGCTTGCTATATGAAAGGGGTCACCAATATAAAAGTTTGAGAACCACTGTTCTATTAATTTCCTTTTGTCTATAGGAGAATCCCAGTAAGGAAAGATCACATGTTCTTTGGTCCAAATGACTCTGAGCAGCTATCCCAGCAAATGCCTAGAGAGGCCCTTCCAGAAACACTCAGGCTTTCATGCATGTCTTCTGCTCACAAAAGGTGGGGTGCCAAGCATGCAGGCTACCTGGCTTTCTGCAAGGGAAGCACAGTTTGCAATAAAATGAGCCCAACTCTTGAACACATTTCATATGACCGAATATCCTCTGGGGAAACTGCCCTTCTTGCCTCTCCCAGCTCAGACACACAAACCAAGGCAGGACAGATTTTCATTTATGTTAGCAGCTGCCACTGAAGACAGAACAGCACATTTGGGGCAAGCAGCAATATTAGAGGATTTAAAGAATCCTTGTAGAGAAACACCCCTCAGGAAGTGAGCTCAGTAACTGGGTGGATGGATTTAGTACTACTAAGTCATGTCCTCCCTGCAGCTAAACATTAATAAATAAGCATTTTAGAAAACTGATTCTGACTCCTTGCTACAAAGAGCCACCTGTTCAGGGAGGCAAAAGTCTTTGGACTTTGGAAACTGAGCTCAGCTTAAGCTCTGGATGATGTGTACTTTTCTGGACTTCACTTACCATCATCATCATCCCTTCTCCATGATTGTGCTCCGGTGATGTTGTAGGGTGATGATGTTCCGAGGTCGGATGATAATGCTCAGAGGTGGATGCCATGGAGCTGTTTGCATGGTGGCTGGACATCTTTACTGCAGAGTTGTCAATGATGGCACACACAGGACAGTGGGAGCCTTGAAGAAAGATGGAATAATGGACATTAGGGCAAGAGTCACAGGAAACCCTTCCACAAACAGAAGGCAGTTTCTTTGTCCACAAAGAAGAAGTCAGGCCTCCAACAAGCCACACCATGAAAACTGCTGTCCTAGAGATGTGGCTTATGGCTTGGGACATACCATCATCCCTCAAGCTCCGTACACAGAACTCAAAGCAAATGTTGCATTTCCAATGAGGTGTGTGTCCATTAGGTTAATTTCTTTAATATCTTTGCAACTCTCTAGTGGGTGGTAGGCACACAAGGTCACTACCCTGAAGAACCTACAATCCAATTGAGAAAACATGCAGCAGGGAAGAAAGGATCCTTGTGAAAAAGTCTCCTCTAAACTCCAGACGTTGAACATGCAAAAGCTGACTTTTGTTGCTTCAGAATCTAATTGCTCCCAAGCCCCATTTTAATTCAATCTATCAAAAGATCAGATTCACAATAATTCTCCTAATTGGCAGCCATGCATTTGATTGGGAACAGGTCTATCCAAAAATTGAATTAGTTTGGGACAAGAGTTATTGCTCACGAAAAGGTCTGGAATAGCCCCAGGCAAGCCAGTCACATTTTGAGGAACTTTTGTTCTTTACCTCTCCCTCTAATTACTTTAGACATAATGAGAGAGAGAGAAAAACATATAGAAGGCTGCAAATCCAAACCCATTAAATCTGTTTACTGCAAATCAAGTGGGTCTGGACAGGCACTTTAGAACAAGGAGAGAGCGAATAAATGGTTAATAGTGGTCATGGTTTCTCCCCCTCCCTGGGGTGTGGCGCCTGTCACAGGAGCTGATCTCAAAATGCTCTGCAGAGTAAAAGAGCAAAGGCAGAAAGGGATTAAGGGTTCAGAGGAGATTTAGAAAGGAGCTGGAGAGTCGGTGAGGCATAGGGATACAGAGAAGGGGACAACTTATACCTCATATTAAACATTGAAGTGAATGATATAGCTAATATAATCTACTGGGCAGAGGGGGAAGAAAGAATCCCTCTTTCCATATTTGCTGCCCAAACTCAAGGGTTTGGCATGAGGAGTACAGAGGCCACACAGGCATGATCAGACTGTGAGTAAATTAAGGGAATATTAAGGGCTAGTGCAAATAGCAGAAGAAAGTCACTACTGTATCCTCAGCGCTCTCACCTGGGAGCAAGCAATACAGGTGGGCTCAGTGTTTATTTGTTCAATGCATCTGAAGGGCCTATTGCCTCATCTACATGCACATACAACTGTTAAATTTCAAAGCCAAAGAGCCAGAGTGGAGGCGGACACACACACACACCTCAAATCTCTCCTGCCCAAGCAAAGGGGCAAACAACTGTACAGCCCTGTATATTAGGTCATGCAAGAGACATGCTGCATGGGCACTGCAGAGCAACCAGGGCCTTGAGCAGAAGCACGGTGCCTCAAATAGACAGAGACTCAGGAGACCTGGGCTCTCTTCCCAGCTCTACCAGCAATTTGCCGTGTGGTCTTAGTTAAGTCATTTAGCACCAGTCCTGAAGGCTCTCCCAGTGCTTGACAAAACTGAAAAGCATTGCTCTGCTCCCCTTGGAGAGATGTGCTAGGTAGCCCTATTGACTACAACAGACTGTGCTCTGGGTCCTTTATGGTCTAGGATTCTATTCACAACAAAACGATCCAATTTAAAAAAAAACAATGAAATGAAAACCCACCTCAACCATCCTAAAGCCACAAGCTACAGGAGACAGTGGGAAGGGGAGTGTTGTGTGCAGAAGAGATGGAGAAAGGTCTTCAATATGGGAGCAATGGTGATCAGGAAACAGCCCAGCTATTGCAGAAGTTTTTAGGTGGTTGGGAAGTGGAAGGGGAGAGGCTGAGATAAGCACACCAGAAACTGATGCAGGCTGGAGTGAGCTCTGAGTTTACCAGTGCTCTCAAACTTTTTTACTGGTGACCCCTTTCACATAGCAAGCCTCTGACTGTGACCCCCCCTTATAAATTAAAAACACTTTTTTATATAATAAACACCATTATAAATGCTGGAGCAAAGCAGGGTTTGGGGCGGAGGTTAACAGCTCGCGACCCCCCATGTAATAACCTTGTGACCCCCTGAGGGGTCCTGACCCCCAGTTTGAGAACCCCTTTAAGCTAAATAATTAAGTGATGTTTCCAGAGTTTGAGGATTTTGTGCATTCTGCCACCCCTCCCTTCCCACAGTAGGATAATATGAAATCCCCCGTGCCCCCCACAGGAAACCGCCTTCATTCCCCCACTGATGTCTTTAATTAGGGTTACCATACGTCCGGATTTTCCCAGACATGTCTGGCTTTTTGGGCTCCAAATCCC